GAAAGAACGTTTACTTCACCACACTATCACCACATTAGCTCTGTTAAGCTTCAAAACAATATTTTTTTCGCCAAATATGAAAACTGCAAGCAAACCAAACCATCACCAGTCAAGAAAGTGCAATAATCTAATGTGAAACAGCAGGTAAGTCATCATTTTCGTGTGGCTGTGTCTGATTTAAACAAGGTGGTGTGAAAAAGCAAACAAGATTAGCAGGCATTTTTTATTATCTGGTTGTCTCAACTTCCAGCGTTGACCTGTTCGCCAATTCCATCTCCGAATCAGAGCAGATGACATTCCCTCCATTGCATCTTCTTGGAATGTTTCAGTAACACAGCAGCTGTCTTAGCAGGCGGGCAACTGGTATCACCATCTAACTCAGGCAGTTGTCCAACAGTCTTGCAGACATTATGCTTTCCAGGTTCAAATGCAAGCACATGCACTCCAGTCTCTTCTGTTAAACTCTACCTGCTGATGCATTTGGCTTCCAGGTTCAGCACCAAAATAATGGGTTCTTCTCCATTAAATGCTCTTCTGTTCGAGTAAGTGCAGACAGCTTTCCTCAGTAATACAAGCAAGATTTTTCTTCTTTGAAATCAAGATCTTACTGTGAAATTATACAGCTGCAATGGAATGCAATCTGGAAAAAGAGTGCTTGGGGCAAAGCATACCTCACTTCACAAACATAAGTAGTGTAATCTCAGCACGCCGCGTTGCATCTAAAGACACACTTCCGACCCATTTATGCAAACCATCCGTGCTCCAAAAACTCTGCAACTTACATGCCCTAAATTCAGGTAAAAGTAAAAACCATAGTATTGTTTACTGACATGTCCCAACTAGTGGGACTAAAACTAAGACTACCACAGTTTAGAAGAACCTCCTCATCTTAAAACAAGAGTAAAGAACTAGGAAGTCAGTGATCAGCTCAGAGGTGCATTTTGGAAAAGTCAGAAACAAGCTCTGCAATTGTTAAAACATGGAACAATTGTCTGTCTACTGAGTAGAAAAAAATTAGCAGTTAACCAAATTAACTATTTTACCTTTCGTCTTTTAGATTTACCTATGCAGCATCAAATTAGGCACTGGAGTTAGAGAACAGTTTACCCATTGATCCCTGAAAGGAACTAACCATGTCCCATTTCGGTTTGGGCGTAGGTGCCAATTACGGTGAGTCCATAGACCTCAGGTATCCATTTCTCCTTCTGAGCATCAGTCATTTGGGTCTCTACGGTGTATTGAAACATGCTGGAGTGCAGACCCAACGGATCAGCATAAGAGCCCAAACATATTCTACAGGAGAAAAATAGAGGGATCTGGATCTCAGTCTTAATGTTCACATGCCCCTGGAAGGCTTTTTGCCAACTGGAGTATAAAACAGGTGCTGCTTGCACTATCATTGATTTTTGTGGTCCACAAACAACCTCCAAAACACGGAGACATTAGACACAAGAAGTGGGGAAAACATTTCTTTCAGGCATTTTATTCAGCCTTCAATTTTTGTTTTTGCTAGTTAACTAAAAAAGCTACAAAGACTCCCTGAGAAGTTACAATTGAGAACATTAATATCAAGTTGTTTCCCTTCCCCTGGGATCTCCCAGCCCTACAAATCCCACTACTGCTAATGACCAACTTAGCCACTAAGTATTGGAAAAGAAAAATCCTTAGTAACCCTGTGAGTGCTTCTTTCAAAGGAGTCTATTACCTGTATCTACTTCCATCAGTTGTTAGATTATGAATTGACCTTCAATTAAAATTACTATTATGGAGTACTACAGAAGGCAATGTAAAAAACATGTTTTAAGTAGATATACTTCATTAAAATAGAAATTGTTTCATGAGGGAAAGCTTGATTAATATCTTAGCAATGAGGATGGGCAAAATACATTCCCCAATTAAAAGAAACTCTGCAACACTAAACATGCTAAAATATTTCACTGATAAAAAAAATCTATGGAGTAGCAGCAACTTCCCTTCAAAATTTTGTAAAGTCTGAATGATTTTTTTTCCCCTCCATCTTCCACCTCTAATAGGTGAATGCTGATTTTCACTGAGTATCAAAGTTGAAAACAATAAACAAGTGCTCTGAAACTACCCGTCCGAAAACGTGCAAAACTCCTACTTGCTCAAAATATCTGGAGAGGAAATAAATCTGCCAACCTTAAGGTAATAATACCTGCCCAAGGAGCACATTTCTTAAGACTTAGCTATCAATACAGATCTGTAATGAGTAGCAGATGCTCTGTACAGAACTTTTCAAATTTTTGTGATGAGCATTTTACACTATGAATGAGCACCTGGGAGCAGAGAGTAAATAACTGATGACTCAAAAACAGATCACTGCAGAAAAAGTTCAAAAGGAGCCTTAGGACAAGAGAAAGAGGGACAACTTCCAAAGTACCACCGAACTTCTTGTTGAAGATGCTCACTTTAAAACAGTTTTTAAATGGACAAGACAATGAGCCATGAACCTTTTCCAGAACCAAAACTATTGTCATCAAGTAATCCAGTGCAGGCTACTAGTGAGTTAACTGTGTTTTAACGTAGTCCAAGTAACAATCTCGAGTTCTTGGGATTAAGATAGCCACTTCTTTGAGCAGGAAATATTCTGTAAATTATCTGTCTTATAAGTTCTACTGCAGTGTATCTGTTTAACAGGCTCACCACAGGTTTACAAATGCTACAAGGAGAGAAGACTGAAAATGCCCTGAACTTTGCTCTAGTTTGCTAGATATTTTTTTCCTCTTTTACTCCACAAGCCACACAGTAATAACTGCACCTTTTACTTCCTAGGTGATCACATTAACCACTAACACAGCTTGATTAAGTGTCTACGAAGAAACAAGATGCCATGGACCTTCACATGAAGATCCTGTTTTCTCAGGACAAAGGACAACCTGATAAGACGTACTATACTTGGAGGGGATGAGTAAGCTTTTCCTTCTCTTTCTGAACTCCACTCCTTTCTGCTTCTTCAATCACAGTGTGGGAAATGCCAAATGCGTGCTTGCACAGCCTGAATTGCTTAACTGTTGGAGTAATTTGCTACATCATGAGGGAATGTTGCATCTAATACTGGCAATTTCATCAGTTATCACAGATATCCTGTGTTGATCTGAAGTCCGATTTGCTAAAACAGCCACAGTAAATTAAGGCAGCTGAAGTCCCAAATCCACTTACAGGAGAGGTATGTGTAATGACGTGCTACTTGGACAAAGTCAGTCTTTCCAGCTTTCCAGCAGCAAACACCACCCTCACAAAAAAAAAAAAAAACCTAGCTCGTATTTGACAGATCAACCTGGTTTGATAGCATACCTACCAGGGAGCAGCGCAATAAAAGTCTACACTTCCTGAGAGTCCAGATCTAAATGAACAAGTGCAAAGACATTCTCAGACTGCACAATTAGGTTATAGTATATTGGCTTTAAAGCAAAATCTTCAGCATATCTTTTCTAGCTTTTGCAATTCCTAGGATCATTCTGAAGGAAGAATATCTTTGGTGGGGGCAACAGGTCTGACATGCGCTTACTGGGTTTCAAGAGTTAACAAATACGACTAGGAAAGGAGTTTGTTGCTGTGGTATCAAAAGAAAAATCCCTGCGGCTAATAGGATCCCACTACGTTGTCGTTGCCTAAGACCCTACTAGAACTTCTGATTGCAGGCACTGGAAAGTATTCCTGGTGAGAAGCAGAGACAATCCCAAAAGGAACGTGCACAACCACGTAATGATGCTCATGAACACAAGAATCATCTGTTGACTTGCAGCTCTTAGATCTCTTCTGTGCCACTGTTTCTCCTAATTGTTTTTTTTACCTCTTCTCTTATTTCTGTTTTCCTCACAGACAGACATTTAAATTAGAAGACGAATTAAGACTACTAGACTGCTTTCTTCAAAAAGCTGTATATGGGACAGGAGTAATCTCTACTTGTTCACGCTGATTTTCATCCTCCTGTAGTTAGATCGCAAAAGAAACATCAATTACTGGCACTTTAAGACTGCTGGCCTTCATAAACGAGTCACAGTGATAACTGCAGAGCTGACAGGTTAAATGTGAGGAGAAAAAAAAAAAGACTAGATAACAATTTAAACAGCTTCTAAATATGTTTAGCAGTTCTTAAGCACTGGAGCCCAACAAATCCGTTATGGAAATGAGGAGGTATAAGAAGTTCTCAACCCGTCATGACAGCAACAATTGTTTAAACATATCTTCAGGGCAGTTGAAGGAAGCTTTCTTCTTCAAAGGCTATTCATAAATTAAGCTTTAAAGTTTGTCATTCTGGGAGACAGAGTTTGGTAACAAAGTTCTTGTAGTGTGTGACAGCTAAATGAAGATGAGCTCAATCTCAAAAAGCTCACTGACAGTGACTGCGTATGTAAGTGCATCTTTGTTCCTACTCTTAAGGATGAGTGCAAGAGAGGAAATGCTGGAAAGTATCTTCACCTTTCTTATGTAGGAATCCGATTGCCAATTCCAATAGATAGAACTTTACATTCGAACTAAAGACTTCAACCTATTTTATGAACTTCAATAAAGTCAGGTCATAACATCACAACCTTTCAGTTTTCCAGTTTGGAAAACTGAAGAAGACCAGATACATGGTAGAGTCTCACAAGCCTCTAGGTTATCTTCTAGTCAAGTAAATTCTCCTCTTGTAAGTATCAACTGACATGTTTGGATACACAAGAGACTGAACTTACTTCCATAAGCGCTTACTTATGATTAAGTTTTTTTTTTTTTTTTTTTAAAAAGTGTTTTAAGGGAGGATATTGGCTTAGTGGTTAATAGGTGAAAAAGATCAAAGGATTATCTTCTAATCCTTTGAGTTCACTTGTACTTTAACATTTACGTCTACTTTTTCAAATACCAAATGTATAACACTTGATACTCTAATAATAAATTTAAATTAAAAAATATAAAGAGCATGGAATTCTCATAGAAAGTAACCTCACCTGCCAGTAAACCATACTGCTCTTCTATTCTTCTACTTCTTGTTAACACAGAAGACTGAGAAACAGAGTCAGTCTACTCAATTATCCTGAGTATCTGCTATTAGATTTGGCTCTGAAAATAAGCAAGTCTTCAACTATTTCAGTTGATTGGGGGTTAGACTAGATGATCTCTAGAGGTCCCTTCCAACCTCAACCTCTGTGATTCTGTGTGATTTCAGAATACAGATTCTGACCACACTTGACTATTGATAAGATATGGATATATTATTTAGTACCTACATAAAATATTAAGCATTTATCCATTAAAAAATATGAATTGCTGACTCCATGATGTATTTAGAGTCCAAGACAACAAAACTAGAAGGTATTATCTGATTAATCCAAGAAATCCTATTTTCATAAAATATTAATAACAATGCTAACTAAGCACAGTATTTACATCGCTAACTCCATGAAAACTTGTCAGCTGGGATACTGAATGGAGTTGTCTGAGTTTTCTCCTTAAAAATAATTGAAAATGTTTCCCTATCCACCCCAGTAGGAAAAGGCCTGAGTAGGACAAATTAGCATTTAACAACTTTTGTCACACAGTATCTACATAACCTAACACAGTCATTGAACTTTCTTTTGTAGCCTTGTTCACTGATAATTTTTTTTTTTTTTTGAAAACTACTTATTAATTCCACGAGATCTTTCATGACATAAATCATATTGGTGAACAACAGTTCTTTGAAATTAAAACCACAGCACGTAGGACTGATCCCAATAGTCACTTGGGACTTGAAAGTTTCCCTACAAATATAATCAGAGAGGGCTTTGTGATTTTAGCATTGAGTATATTTGTTTATTTAATGTGCCAGATGATATTTTTAGGGTCTTATGTCCATATTTCTAGAGGTGTGCAATCTGTTAAGTAGTCTTAGTTTTATTCAACTCCAGTATAATTAAACAAAGATGAGAAATAGGTCACAGACAGGAAAAAAGCTCTCTACAAGCAACTCAACTCAGACAAGCTCAGTGTTTTTATTAACTTAACCAAAAGGCAATGCAATCAGGTAGATAAAATGTCAGACAAAAAATTTCTAGGTCAAAGGGAAACACTACCACACCAGAAGCTCGGAGAACAGAGAGGGAAGCTTACAAACAAGAACTAATAAACCAACTTGGAACATTTTCAAGTATGCCTATAACGCAACTTTATCAGGTCTAAGTGCAAAGTGAAGTAATCAGGTATAAGAGGTCCCATTAAAGTTGTCAGCCTGTCAAATCTATGCAGAGTCAAATTATTTCACTAAATATTCTTTCATTCCTTTTTACGAATCAGACTAGCCGCCCTGTTTTCACTCTTATATACAGTGCCGAAGGTCATTATTTTTGGTGTTAACTCTAGCCTTGCAAAAAAAAAAAAAAAACAATGCTGAGGAAGTGAGGGCTGGATCTGAAGTTTACTGAGGCCAACTTTGGCGGTGGGAGGGTGGTTGGTGCAATCTAGAATGCCACAAAAAACTAACATTGGGGGAAAAAAAAAAAAAAAAAAAAAAAGCAACTCCAGCATTCTTAGGAATGATAAAAGTGAATACAAGAAGCAAACTCTACCCTCAGGTACCTTTTAAACATGTAGACCTCATCAGGATCTGCAATTCCATATTCTCTTAACTTCATCACCATCAGAGCGCTCTTCCTGATGGCTTGGTCATAGCGTTGGCTACGGGAGAGGAAGTTCAAATCCTCATGCTGGAAGTCAGGGTCATTAGCAATTAAGGCCTCTGGGAACAGAGCAGAAGAGAAAAGAAATTCAGTTTCCACGGGCCACAATAATCTTCATCTAGCAGATGAAAAGCATGAATCGTTCTTCATACTTCTATCTGAAAGCTAAAAGTGAAATTCAAAGCTAACAAAATCAGAAAGAAGTCACAGAGCTTTTGGAACATTTTGGAAAGTCTCTTACAACAGGGCACTCTTGCTGTTTTACACATAAACCATATTTTAAACTAGGAGCACCCTGGACTTGGCAGAATTCACAGAGTAAGAACTGCAGGGCCCTCAGCAACCACCTCAGTCCTCAGATAGCCCTTGTTCTCGCAGGATTAGATTGCCCCTGAACCTTGGTCTGATCTCCATGCAGCTCGGAAGGAGTGTGCAGCTCCTATTCCCATTTTGCTGACTCAAAACTTAGGTACCTGGAGGCTACGGGCTTCCATGTACCCTTTGGACACGAGTTATACAACTGCCTGGCCTCCGACAGGGCCACCCCAGCACGGGTTGGGAAAGGACAGAGGTAGCAACAATCCACTGATCTCACATGTCACAGTCATGAGCAAGTATTTGTGCTGTTGGGCAAGCGTGTATGCACAAGCAAAAAGGAGGAGAAAATTTCTAAGATTAAATTAACACGGTTTTCACCCTAAGATCTTCCTACAGAGAAAGAGGGGTTAAAAGGGACGTTGCTCAACCTCCAAAAAGCTTTCTGGGAAGGGAAGGAGAGGGAGGTGACACCACTCCCCACTCCTCTGCCCTAGTACAGAGCCCCGAGGGAAGGGGGCTCCCTGCAGCCCTTCTGCCCCACAGAGCCCCCTGCTCTGCAGCCCGTCTCCTTGCAGCTCCCCCGGCCTCGGGGCCTCCCTCTCCCTTTAGCTGCCCCCTCTCCCCAGTGCTTCCCAATCCTCCCCCAGACACCCCCCCGCCT